AAACAAAATCTAAGCACAGCACTGGATTCACCACCCCCTCAAAACGACCCTTTACTAAATTTTATGTAGAAAAATGCACAATAACTACAAAAATTTATTCCGTCGTTATCCATGAAAAAAACATTGAAATAAAATTAAACTTATAATAAGTATACCATGTTATACTATTAGTTTAATTTTATTTCAATGTTTCTTTCATGTATAACTTGACAAAATAAATTTTTGTAGTTATTATTTCTCTATATTTTTCTATTTACATTTTAAATATAATTTAGTATAAGGTCATTTTGAGGGGTGGTGAATCCAGTGCCGTGCTTAGATTTTTTTTTTTAAATCGCTAATATGAATTCTTAAAAATTAACTCTTAAAAACTGACATAGTATGCCTTTTATTTAGTAAAAATATGGCGTTTTTGCTTCAAAAATACAGTTTATCGAGATTTTACCTTTAAAACAAATCTGGTAAAAATCGCACGATAAATAAAGATTTTACAGGGGTTATGTAATAAAACATTTTTTTTGCCATTATACCTGCAATACCTATCATATACCAATACGTTCTTTTTTAAATCAAATAAATTATTTATTTCAAAGTACTCCATTTTTATTATTTTTAATATTTTGTCTTTTATAACAAAAATAATAATAATTATTATTATTACTAAATAATGTATGGCACATATAGCACAAAGCAGTAGACAAAATAAATCTGATATATATCCCAGATACTAAAGATACGTTGCGACCTCCGAAAATCCGGCAACACTGTCGGAGGATACAAGGCTGTTTGTTTCTCCGAAATTATATATATATTCGGAGGTGACTTTGTATCTTGAGTATCTCCAGTTTGCGTAAAAAAATTGACATTTTAAAAAATTAGAAATTGCTTCCCCTCTTGTGGTGGCGTTAATATTTAAGGCTCCCCCCGCAACATATGCAATCAAAATAAAAATCGTCCATTCCGCAGACCCGGAGGAGAGGTGGCCCTCTCAACTTAACGGAGGTCACAGCTGACCACTTATCTTTATATCTATATTATATATATATATATATATATATACAGCCCGTTCAGAGTAAAACCGAATATATATATATATATATATATATATATATATATATGGGGCGTGGCCTCGCCTCCCTTCAACGCGCGACGCAGTAGCTAAGCAAATAGCCTGCATCGCTAATAAGATTTTTTGCATTATTTTCATTAAATTTTTTAAGTCCTTACCTGCTCGACCTTTCGTCATGTCGTTTATCACACAAGCTACTGTATATATGAGTACATTAGATGCAAAACTCTGTATTTGCAGGATAAGTGATTTTAAGAAAAACACGAAAAACCGCTCATAAGGTCATATTTGAAAAAAAAATACAAAAATCGTATAGACGTGCTTTTGCATCATTTCTTATTCAAAAAAGTAAAAAAAGTAATTTAAAATTAAGTAGTTTAGTAAATAATTGAAATCAAAAGATTTAAAAACATAGTTTTGCATCTTCCTCGTTCAAAGACCAAGTTTTGCAAGTGAAAAGTGCAAATGCCAAAAAAATAACAATTAATCAGGTGATTGTTATGCCGTCAGTTAATGCGTATACTAGCGACGTGATTGATGATTGGTCAAATACCGAGTTTTGCATCCGACAGGAAGAAACAAATACCCAGTTTTGCAGCTGCGGTAAGTTTATAAATGTATTTTATTCTACAAATATTAACTTATGCATCTGGTTTACTTAGGTATACTGTGGGCAGTGCAGTTATGAACATAAATAAGATAAAATATATATTTTTTAAAAATGTGCAAAAACCGAGTTTTGCATCTAATGTACTCATATATATATATATATATATATATATATATATATCTAAAAAAATTCCGATTTTCTGGACATATTATAATTAATTTACTTTACGCGTCGGTAAGTAATTTACTTATTAATAATAACTATTAAATATTTTAAATTCACATAAAATCAGGAATGAGATAATCAGGACAATGTGTTTTATGTAAACCAACATTTCCTTTATAAATGCAATACAGGTTTTTTACAATATCTATATAATAATATATAAAAATGAAATTCTAGCTGTAGACCCTCGGATTTGCTCGCTGTTCTAAGGAAAAATAACTCTATTTATATATGTCTATCTCTATCTATCTATTTCTATCTTTATTTATATCTCTATCTCTCCGGCCCATAAACCAATCTTATGCAAAAAATTATTATCAATTAAAATTATTAATTAAAAAACCTCAAAAATTTCATTAATTATTAATAATTCGTTCAGCCGTTAAATACTTCCAAAAATGCTAAATGCACCGGGACTAAAACTAAGTTTTCAAATTTTAGTGATGGAATTTCAACAAAATCCTTTCTTAGCGCCATGTCGAAATTTTAGCCCTTTAGGTCCAGCGGTTTTGTCTATATACTGTGGCGAAGTTCAGTTCAAGTTAGTACTTATTTTTTGCACACATGCACGGCAACTCTTTATTTGGGAGCGGGTGAGGGGAGATGTTTATTATTGTTTTTATTTGTGGGCGCCAGCCAAAAGTGAACTTTTGACAAGAAAAATGTTTCTTTTAACAAAATTACTCAAGTTGATGATGATGATGCTTTGTTTTATTGTTTAAATAAAACATTATGTGGTAGGCACGATTATTCTACGTGTTAGAGTCAACATGAACTAAATAATATCATTTCTCTATAATTAAAACAAAATTAATAAATACCTTACACATGTGTTTAGTTTACAAAGATCAGGTAGACAGCGATTGAAACGTCCTGGTATACTTTAGACAACGTGTATGGTATTTACACTAACCATTTAATTCTTAAATAGCTCGAATAATACCGATTACTTTAAAAGGACGTTAAACAACCATCGAGCATAAGAACAAAAGGACGCAAATGAAAATATCGAGACATAAAGGCCTGAAAAGAGAAACACTGTTTAGCATGTTTTCTAAAATACAGGAAAACCAGTCAAAATACTGAAAATATTATTGAATGTCAGGTGGCCTTACTGAGGTTAATTTGATTATATTGTTGATTTTCTATTGCGGATTATCAAAACTAATGCGTTTTTTAGGTTCTCCCTTAAAACGCTTCCAGAAGCTTCAAAACCAAAATCAATATTTAAAAAAACTTAAATGTTGAAAGTTGATTTTACTAATTAATTAATCATGTATAAATTTTAATAACGCTTTCCTGCATTTTTACAGCCCAACAGATGTTCTCAATGCAATTTACTTTTATTATTTTGTGTATTTATCAATAATAAGTAACTAATTGAAAATAATAAATAAATAAGCCGTGTCTACAACAACGCTTTATAAAACCTAATAATTAGGTTTTATAAAGCGTTGTTGTTGTTGTTGTTATTGTGTAAGACAAGCCGTTCGCAACACATACAAAGAAATGTGACCGCTGGGTTGCCTAACCACAGCCTCAATAAATTATTTAAAATCCCAGTATTGTTACTAGGTACCTATTGTATGTACGTAACAACACTAACCGTATCATGTCCTTACTGATTCATCAACGCCCAGACAAAACCACTGGATCTAAAGGGCTGAAATTTTGTATGTTTATATGTATTGTAGATAGATAGATAAATGTGCATGTGCGTATACAATTTATTTTATTTAATAAATATATTTCGATTTTTAGTACTCAATGCGGCCAAACAATAACACTTTTTCTGCCGTTTTTATTATTGTCCGCGTTTTGTGGTAGCTCGATGTATTGATGATTATCAAAAGCGGCGTTATTATGTACTCGTCTTCTTTCTGGACTTGGCTATTGCCTTGGCCATTAAAATCAGACTCGTCCAGAAAAAAAGCCTTTTTTGGGCCTTGGTACTTACTACTTTTTGTGAGTGGTAAATAGGGCGTAACTTTTTTGTATATAATTTTATATTCTACGTAACGTTTTAAAAAAATATATTTATTTTTTGTATATATTAGGAACTACCTTAGTATAAGAGTACTACAGTAAACTAAACAGGTTACCTCCTATTTTTAAGGAATACATTTTAGCTTAAATTAATGAGCATTTTTAAGAATTAAAATTTACTAATTTGGCCCTCGCGATTTATTTGGTTTTTAATTCAATATTATTTAAATTAAAACAGCCAGCAACCCACTGGGGTAGCTCATTAGGCAAGTTTTCGACAAAGATCAGATGTGTTTAAAACGGGGCCGTATTTTATTGGTTATGCCATATTTTATTCTTATTTTAATTGTTAAATATACTTAGTAAGTTTAAGTATTACTTTTTGATTTTTATTTTCAGCCTTTCAATCCAAAGGTCCAGGGTTAAAACAACGGATAAAAAAATGTAAAAGACCGTCAGCTGGGCTGCCCTGATAAAGAAAATGGTTATCTATCATTTTATGTCAAACTCGTTCGTTCAAAGTCTGTTTAATGTATGATTTATTTATAAATAAAAATACCGTTTGAGACTTTAAAAAACATATTTAAGCAGTTACGGTATTAACCCGTTCGCGGCCTATGTAGAAGTAGGAAATTTCAGAACTGTTTTGGGATTGGTTACTAAAATAGCCAGTAAATTGGGTACAGCTTAATTCCTTTAGGAGCGAGTGCTTTGTGTTTAGAAATGATTTCCAAACTTATATATTTAGCATACGTGTCCTGAAAGTAGTAATTTCAAAACTAAAAACAATACAAAAAAGTTTTAAATGCATTTAAAACAGATGTATCTTTTAGGCATATTATTGTAATATTATTCTGACTGTGTAATTAATTACTAAACATTTGACTAACTCTGGTAGTTCAAATGTTTAGTAATGGTTATTACAGTTATACAGTATAATATTACAAAATAGTTTCCGGTTTACAAATAAAGTAATTATTGCTTGTTTTAAGTTAAGGCAACATAATACAGTCGTTTGTACTGTTTTGAAATTTAGCAAAACTTGACTGTCTTATCTTGTAACTCTCACTTGCAGGGAAAGCGAAGTTTTATCATGCCATTTAAACTTACTCGATGATCCGGAGTTGGAGCTGCTGCTGGTCGCCGAAGTCGATCGGTAATACGGAGGGGATCCGGGAGGCTCTGGTTTACCTAGCGTCGTCGATGAACCCATGCGTCGGGTTACGTCCGGTGCCGGAGGAAACGTCCTTTCATCCTGCAGGGATAGCAGAAAAAAATAACTACGTTAATATAAGAATTTTGTTAACATCAAAGAGAAATACAATATTATTATTTGAATCCAATTATCTTTGAATAAAAATAGAGAATCTATAGGTTAATTTGGCTACATTGATTTATGTTAAAAAACTTGATATTTATAATAATATCATAATATATATATTTTTATTTACCAACTCGGTTTTTTTGTTCGCAACGCCCCCTAAATTTTTAGTTTATGACCTAAACAAAATTATAACAAAAATATTTATATTAAACCGTGCCACAAAGACGATACATTTTCCATTTGAATAACATGGGGATTCAGCTTTCAAGTTTTACATTTATTTTTTTTCTCCCGAGCAAGTTAATATACAGCAATAAGTGATACATATTTTATGGAAAATTGAACGCTGTACCAAAAATTTCTCTTATGATTTTTTAATAAATTCACTGGTTTAAAAGTTCTTTAAGGTTAAAATTGAACTTATAGTAATTTTTTCGTTTTTTTACTTTGATAGCATTATTTTTATGAAAATAAATTGATAATTTTTAAAAATATTTGATTTTTTTGTAATATTGAAAAAGTAAAAATTATTGAAAAGAGATAAGTGAAAATTATTGACATGAAATCCGGTACTAGTTTTACTCAAATTTAGTATGATTACTTTTTTTACATAATCTTTTTATTGCTGTGGACTTTCACAAAATTTTATAAGATTTTATACAAAGAAAAATTTCAGGTGTAGCTAATAACGTAGAAATTCTTTAAAAAAAAATTGTAGTTACCCATGCGCACTAAAGTATGATTTAGTACTTCGACCACAGAATGCAGAAGTCGCACTTCGTGTCGCAAAGTTGAAGAGGCATATTTTATTTAATAGTATACTATATATATACTTATGTATCAGGTTTTATAAATGCCATTTTAGTTACGAGTTTTATTAGGCACAAGTGAAGCTTATTAAAAAAAAGTGTCTAGATATGTTGCATACTAAGTATATATATAAGGTATACCTTATCCACGACGAACACAAAAAAGAATTTAAAGCCAATTATATTTGTTAAACATTTGACATCTGTCAAATGTCAACGGAATTAACCTCACTTTTCTCTAATATATAATAAAGCTAATATCAACCCGTGTCATTAGCTGTACTGAAGGAAAACTTTTTATTGTATAATATTTTATAAAATAATATTGAATTTATCGGAATCTCTTGTCAATAGATTTTTCTTATCTCTTTTCAATAATTTTTGTTTTTTCAATAATAAAATAAAATCTCATATTTTCAAAAATAAAGAATTCATTTTCATAAAAATAATTATAATTTTGCAGTCAAAGTAAAAAAATCGAAAAAATTACTATAAGTTTAACTTTAACCTTATATAACTTTTAAATCAGTGTATTTATGAAAAAATCGCACCTTTTCGCTTTTTTGACAGCGCGCTGCAGCGTTCAATTTCCGGGAGAAAAAAAATTAAATGTAAAACTTGACGAAACCCCACCCATGTTATTTAAATGGAAAATGTATCGTCTTTGTGCTACGGTTTAATATGAATTTGTTTGGTCATAAACTAAACATTTAATGGGCGCTGCGAACAAAAAAACAAGTTGATAAATAACGGACACCCTAATATATATACACCGCGTCCAAAATTATCTCTCACTATTGCTGACTCCATTTTTATTGGAGCTGGAGTCGGTTAGATTAGCAAATAGGGGAAATTTTTTTTAATAAAATGGCGAAAGCAAAAGCAAAGGGACAATTAACTTCGGGTTTCTAAATTTTCACAAAAAGTTAAATTTTTTTAATGGGACACCCTGTATATTTTTACATATTTTAAATGACAATTTAATTATTAATTATATTTATATTTAGTATCGAACAACTTGTAGTGTCACACCAAAGCAAAGGACTACCTGAGCTTATATACTCTTCATGTAAGTCAACAGAGGCGAGATTTAAGTAATATAGTTAAATGAACTATTCTTTTTTTCTGTGTAGGTGCACTTTTCAAATATGTTTAGATAAACACCATTTTGGTGTTTGCTGTATATAACATTTTCAACCATAATTCATGGTGTTTATATCGACTTTCTGCCAAGTATCGCAAGCAACATAACTCAAATTTCGGTAGTTGAAAACATGTTTTGTTTTAAAGTCTGTTTTAAATTAAATATAGCCTAAAGGTTTTATAACAAGTAAATAGCTTATAATTATAGCTATTTACTTGTTATAAAACCTATAGGTTATATACGGTTTAAAACAGACTTTAAAACAAAAAATGTTTTCAATTACCGAATTTGCTGGTAGGAAGTCATCGATATTAACACCACTTGGTGTTGGATTTTGACACCATTTTAAGATTACTCTTTCCACCACAGATATTTTAAACAGTGTACTTCTTATACCAGTTACAAAGTTAACAAAATAAAATACTGCACGATACTGAATTTGGATTACCCGATATCCGGCTATCTGTCCAGGCGGAACTAAACTAAAACGTTCTGTACTTCATTTTTAGTATAGAACGTTTTAGTTTAGTTTAGTTATATTTTTGTTAATTTAAACATTTTTGAATAAATATTTTAACAAAGCTATTATATTTTTATAAATTTAGGCAATATTACCACATTTCACAAAAAAACAACAATTAAAGCATTTGCCATTTGGTGTTAATTGTTAAAATTGTTTTTTTGGGCTTTTTTGCTTCAATGGATATTTTATAGGTATTTTATATTATTTTTAGCAAAAATTAAAATGGTAAATAAATGCACTTTCTGGTGGAAAATACAGCGTAAATTATGAAAAAGACCGTGCGTGCTTTACAGGTTAGTTAGTTAGTATATTAGTCATGTAAATTTCGCCGACATATTTTTATTTAACTATTATTTAAAAAATCTTACATTCAAATAAACTCAATGATTTTGATGCACATTGATGAACAGTACAAGTCCAAAAATTTAATTTAACTAATCCTTTTTTTAAATCAATTTTAGTTCAAAATACATTTTTTTGAGAAAATATAAATCATTTTACAGAATATAAACATTATATTTTATAAAATAGTTAAAATATTCCCACAAAAATGCATTTAGAACTATAAAACTGATTTTTTTTTAATATTTTGTCAAAATTTTGACTTATAGACTTGTACTGTTACCGTACGTGAATTATTATCTATAATTGCAAATGCTCCACGTTTTTAGTTTTAAATCTTACTATTAGAAGACTAAAAAATAAATAAATAGTTTAAAAAAACATAAATACGCAACAAAAAATTAAAAATAACACAGTGCAACCCAACATTTTAAACCAGATTAAATTGTTTTAATTTTATTTAATTTTAATATTTAATTTAATAATGGTTTGTAAAAATATTTAATACTGGGTTTGTAAAACTTACCTCGAATTTTTTTCTATGGTCTTTGAATTTTAGGTACTAATTGTAAATTAAAATACCTTAAGTTCGCTTAAAAATTAAAAAAAAAATTAAAAGATTTTTATTTTTAAAATAATTTATTTTTTTTTTCAAGCGGCCATGATATACAACCTTATATGCCTGTATAGAGATAGTTGAAGTGCGTCTTTTTCATTAGCGGCAGACAAAAAACTCAAAAAAGCCTAGGGATAGAAGTAAATCCATAGGTGTCTCAATAGACGTCAAATAATAAAATTAATTTAGAATTTCATACAAAGCAATCACGTTGTATTAATTATATTAATTATAATCGCACGGAATATTTAGTGATTATTTATTAAATTTTAATTGAACGAAATAAAGAACAACTAGTTTATTAGTATAATATTATGATGATAGACGAGTTGCCAATGTCGGAACTCCAAACAAATGTCAGTACGTCAAAATTAATTCAAGCGCAGCATTTTGACAGAGCAGGGTTTATTTTTAGTTTAGGATTTATTATTTAGATTTATCGGCATTGTAAGTAAGGGTTATAAGTTTTTTTAGTTTTTATCAATAATTTCTAATGCTTTTAGCCAAAATTTTACACCACATGAGTTAAGAGTAAATAAAATAATTCCATTGCTTATCCTATTTATATTACGCCCTTGAAAAAAAAATTGTATATGTTATTTGGAGTAGAAGCTCTTTTTGTGCTTCGTACAGTTGCCTGCCTCAGCTACGCTTCGGCCGTCAATCTCTGTACTCACCACAAAAAGAGTCGCTTCTACTCCTTATGACATAATCTACTTTTTATAAAAAATTGATCAAATTTAGTTTTAAGAGTCGTGTTCATAAAATTTCATATTTAAATTTTTTGGCAGAAATAGGGTTTAAAGTGTAAGCCGGCCATTCCTATACTTAGCATACACAGTTATTTTTTTCCTAGTTCTACGGATTTTTTACGACTGTCTGAATTTCCAAAACACTCATTTTAAGAGTTTTTTATTTTTATAAATATAGTTTATTCAAAATTAGTACAGTTTGTTTTAATTTAGTAATTTATACAAAAACATTTTTATTTATACTCTTTTTTGAACCAACTTTAGGGATGTTGGCAAAACTGCATAAAACCATGAAATAATTATATTTTTAGTAGGAACAAGGTAATAAAAAAGCAACAAAGTTGAAATTATAAAATTTACTTTTTTTTAAATTTTTATTTTAAATCGAAAAATTTAAAAAATATAATAAAAATAGCTTAATTAAGTTAATTTAAAAAAAAATTACGTTTAATAACCCAAGTAATACGCAAGTGTCTTAAAATTATAAAAATTCATCATTTAGAAAATTAAACTTGAAAAAAAAAATAAAAACAAAAATTACATTTTTTTGAACAAAAAATTAATTAATTTATTCCCTAGTGCTAGAAATTATTTTTTTTATGGTCTTAAACTATAAAACAATTAAGTGAGGAAGAAAGAGAAAAAAGGCAATTTTATAATAACTTTGACGCCAAAAACTAAATTTTAAATATTTCTAAATATAAATTATTTTAAGATAAAAAACGTTTTCACAAAGAGTCGAAGCGAG